CATTACTTTTGTCGGTTCCTTGTGACAGCTTTTGAGTTATTGGCAGCGTCACCCTCTGGTTACATGAACACCACCGAATCAGCACTGAAAACATCGGGATTTTTGTAGACAACAATCGCACAACCAATCCGATGTTTTATAATTAAATCAACAAATCGAATATTCGAAAATCGTGACTCATCCCTACAGCTTTATTAATGTATCCAGTGTACCCAGACACCCCTACACAAATGTGGCTTTTTGTTAATGACTGTCCTTGGATTTAACACAGAGTAAGAGCTCACTGTAACAGTCTGTCACGGGCAATTCTAGTTGCGTTTTTCATCAATTAATTTCTTAAATTATCCATTGATTATGTTCTGGCCTGCAATCTAGAGTCAAAAATATGTTTTGGCCCGATGTCAACCTTACTCGCTGTCTGACCCCTGGCAAATAGGCTGTAATTCCTAAATGAATGGAGCAAAAGTTCTGATTTGATTTGTCTTTACATCAAAAACATAAAAATTATACATTTTTATTTACATAAAAATTATACCCCTGAAATAATGTTGCAGAATATTATCATCATGATTTTAATATTTACATTGTTTGTGTTCTCTAGCACCAAGAGGAAAGCGAGGCTGGAAGACCTTTTATGCTGTTCTCAAAGGCATGATCCTCTATTTGCAGAAGGTTTGTTTTTCCACTCTTTCATCTCCCCCTCCTCGCACTGCTGATTATTAAAATTTCCATCATTTCCTGCAAACGTGATCAATAATAATTCAATTTCTCCTCCTGGGGGACTCAGATGGTGAGAGGTAATCACATTCACACGTTTATTTCGGGTCTGACAGACCTTTTCAGAGCCCATCAAAGAAAGAAGCGCAGTACAATAGTTTATTAATGTGCTCCATTTGATCTGGCATGAGTTGCTCGGCTGTGCAGCGATGCAGAAGTCACCGGCGTGAGAGGTCTACCTGTGCTTATATTAGTGCTGGTGACGGACTGTCCCGCAGCTTCAGGGTTCAGGCTTCATCAGCTAACGATGTTCAGCAATCACACCGAACGACTCTCATCAGAGGAGCAGGAGATGTGCTGCCGGATGGCTTTCTCGTTATCATTTACTGTGGAGGAAATAATAAGCTTTGAAAGATTAAACTTGTAATGGCTTCCTTTTGTATGTGCTTGCTTCTATATGGGAAAGTTTATTTGATTCTATTCCAAACCAGTTTGAGCAAAACTTTTTTCATGCAAGTAAAGACTTGAAAACAAAGCTGTGTCAGGGTGTCCGCGGGGTTTTAAAAAGTAGTAAAAAGTGATAAATCAAAATTGTCAAATTTAAGGCCATTAAAAGTGTTAAATGTAGTCTGAGAGGTATTATTTTTTTTTAAATTAAGTATTATTATTTTTTTTCCAGACTATCAGGTGTCCTATTTTGTGTTTGCGTTAGTCCGAATAAATATGGGCTTTGGCTTATCTGGGCACAATCAAAGATCTTTCATCTCTGTCTGTTTGATGCTGACGTCATATTCAATGGCTGGACGATATGACGATATATAGAGGCTATATGACCCTGATATAAGTGATCACCCGGATTTAGACCTACCTCTATTGTATTTATATGAAGCGTTCACAGGCAAATTTGTTTTAGCCTATGTAGATCTATATATTGCTTTTATTTCCCTTTTATTGAAATCAGGCAAACATAAATCTCAGGCGACACAATTGCTGGCTGCATGTCAATATCCGTGGATCACTGGATCTTTAGTAAGTTGTCCAACTATATTGAGTCCAACATTTAGTTTAAATTCATCAAATTGTTAGTTTTAGTCGCATTTTCGTTTTATAGTTTCCCCTATTAAATCCAGTCACGCAGCAGATCTTTTGCCACTCAGTCAGGCTGAGGGGGGTTGTACCGGCGGGAAAGTGATGTCAATGCATTCACTCTATTGTTTGGTGTGTAAAAAAACATCAATGTCAGCTGGATGGGAGCTAATGCACTTCGGTCGCAAATGCAATCCACGAAACATAAAAATGGAATGCGTGTTCTAAATCTATTCATTTTTGTATGTTATAAATGTCAATAGAAAGCAATAGATGTAAATGTAAATGTAATAGAAAGGTCGCTGGTTAACACTTGCAATTCAGTGTCGTGATGGTTTTAAAAAAAATTCGGAAGGTAGTAAAAAAGGTATTAAAAAGTAGTAAATTTAACTTAAGGATTACTGTATATACCCTGTGTGTATAAAGGTAGTTTTAATAGAGGGAAAAACTATCTACCTTCGCACTTCCCCTTCCCACATCACTACCGTCTGCTGCAAAATGCAATTCATCCTGTTTACCACTGAAAACTAAGACGTATAATGAATTTAGTAATAGACTATAATGAAAACATTGTGTAACAATATTAAATTCTGTCATTGTAACTTTATGGCTCCAACATCCTGGTCCCTTAATTGATGATAATTTATTTTAAGGCAATTAAATATGATAATATTCATATATTGAGGAACCATGAAAAATACATAGTAAAATGTATTTTTAGTTTAAAGATCTTCAAATACATAGTGCATACACAAACGCACACACACTATAACACTCACTCACTGTGTGTGTGTGTGTGTGTTTGTAGGACGAGTATAAGCCGGAGAAGGCCCTGTCGGAGGACGATCTGAAGAACGCCATCAGTGTGCATCATGCTCTTGCCATCAAGGCCATGGACTACGAGAAGAAGCCCAATGTGCTGAAGCTCAAGACGGCTGACTGGAGAGTGTTCCTCTTCCAGGCCCAGTAAGATCTGCTCGCAGACACCAGCACTGCTACACACACAAACATTGCACACGCAACCACACATCTAATGTCATGCTTCAGCTCAAGCTCAATTAAGCCTGATTTGTCTCTTCTGGTGGTCAAATTCCTGCGTGAGGTTGACTGTGAGTTGGCACAACTGTGGTCATGTGAGCCCGTGAAACCTCTTCTCTGCAGGAGCCCTGAGGAAATGGAGGCCTGGATTGGGATAATAAACTCAGTGGCGGCCATGTTTTCGGCCCCGTCATTCCCCGCTGCCATTGGCTCTCAGAAGAAGTTCAGCCGCCCGCTGCTGCCGGCCACCACCACACGCATGTCTCAGGTGCGTTCACGAAGATCAAAGTGCGATTTATGATCGCCTTTACGATTGTTGCTTGTCAGACTGTACGAACATGATCCTCGCTGTGAGCCATGTCACACTGTAAGATCTCAGTTGTCGTTAATGTCAGACTGGGTGACAGTCGAGATGTGTTACAAGCGCAAGAAAACTCATCTGAAGTTCTATATCACTAATCAATCGACGCGTTCGGTGACTGTGAGCTGCATTACACACGGGACTGAAACTGGCTACAAACAAATCTCTAACGTTAATTTTGTTCACGGATTTTCTTTGGCCGTCAAAATTAAGTCAAACTGTAGGACTGAGAGTCGAATAATCTGACACTGCCAGAGTTTCATCTGAGGTAAAATTTAATCGTCATTGTAGCAGTCCTTGGATCCAAAAAAGAGAGTCTCGACTGATGCAAATGTGTCCTGTGAAAACTGTATTGAAAACATACACACAGCAAACATTTCACAAACTTGTTTTCACGATTACAAACATCATTACACAAGCAAACATTTAGGGTGACAAACATTAATTATACTGCTAATAAAACCATACATATGGACAATATTATGAATTATCAATGAATGAAAACACATCATACCTCGCTGCGCTCACCAAGGAATGCAAACAATCTATGATAATCCTCTCTTCCGTCATAAAACGGGAGTCAAGTTTCAAGTTCATGAATAAAACACGAGATGTCACAGCTGCTCCCCATTCACACCGTTTAAATGTTCATCAAGAAAAAAGGACAAATCTCAACATTACAGGTGCACCAAATTTCCGGTCATTCACATACAAATAACAAAAGCACATACAAAATATAAATATTTGAATAAGTTACAACATTTACGCTAATATTTTACCAATAACCCAACTCGTACTTCATTTAATCAACAGCATACATTAGACTCTCCAAAGTGGTCCTTTACAGTCATTAAAGGGTTAGTTCACCCAAAAATGAAAATTCTGTCAGTATTTACTCACCCTCATGTTGTTCCAACCCCGTAAGACCTTCGTTCATCTTCGGAACACAAACTAAGATATTTAAGATATTAAGATCGCTCCTGCATACAGTCCATAGGCTTCTTGAGGGAATGACACTTGCTGGCATCGAAAAGTCATTAAAGACATCGTTAAAATAGTCCAAGTGACTACAGTGGCTGAATCTTAAGTTTATCAAACGACAAGAACACTTTTTGTGCGCAAAAACAAACAAAAATAACGACTTTATTTCAAATATTTACTTCCTTCTCCATGGGCCTGTAGTCAGTTAACGTAGTGTGATTGCGTAAAGCTACGTCACACGTAGGCTCACCATTAGCCGACGCTGGTCATGTGTGTGATGCGTGTGACGTACAATAACAGAAGCTTACGCTATTAAACTAGTAACCTGACTCAAGGCAGAGAGAGAAATAAACTAATAGTTGAAATAAAGTCGTCATTTTTGTTGTTTTTGCGCACAAAAAGTGTTCTCGTCGTTTGATAAACTTAAGATTGAACCCCTGTAGTCACTTGGACTATTTTAACGATGTCCTTTAATGACTTTTCGAGGACAGCAAGTCATTCCCTCAAGAAGCCTATGGACTAATATCTTAAATATCTTAATTTGTGTTCCGAAGATGAACGAAGGTCTTACGGGGTTGGAACAACATGAGGGTGAGTAAATACTGACAGGATTTTCATTTTTGGGTGAACTAACCCTTTAATCTGCTGAACATGTCAAACTAATAATCAAAAACTTCTTTTAGGATTTGCTAAATTTGCATCAGACGGCCAAATCGTGGGCAGAACCGCACAGTGTGCGCCAGCTTGAGGCACTGTGACAGGACGAGCTGAGGTGTGTGCGGTAACTGGTGATGTTTTGATGTGTGTTGTGTTTCAGGAAGAGCAGCTCAAGTCGCACGAGGCCAAGCTGAAGCACGTCTCCACAGAGTTAGCCGAGCACAGATCCTACCCGCCTGATAAGAAGGTCAAAGCCAAAGAGATTGACGAGTACCGCTTGAAGGAGCACTACCTGGAGTTTGAGGTAGACGCCCTTGCCTTTTTACGATCAAGAGACGCCATCAAGCATTTCAGATTTACCTTGGCCGTATTTTACCCTCGCATTCATAGTCTTTGACGTTTTCTCATCTAGACTGTCAGGGATGAACTCGCAGAGAGCTGATGGAAATGCGTTCACTTAAGCCGCTTCGTTTTCTGGCTGAGATTGATGGTAAAGGTCAGAGGAGGAGAATCAAACTGCACTCCTATCAGAGAGGCTGTGCTTTAAACATTAACAAGATGCTGTGTAAATACTTGTTTTCATATTTAATGAATTCAAATCAGCGCTTTTTGATGTAGCCTTAATAATTGGATGTAGTTAAAGCATAAATAATTAATACGGTAACAATTACAAACTTGTTTGCAGATTTTGTTTAAAACATATCTAAAAATCAAATCATCTTTGAAGTCCATTGATACACAGTTGTTGTGTTGACTGTGCATCCATACTCACTGTGCATCAGTCCTGTTATCAAAGATGTTTTTGATCAAAATCATCATACGAATATTTTCTACCGAGAAGCAGCTTCATTTAAGCTAAATGTTTATGTAGAAACATGGTTTGTATTTTTATAAATTCATTGCTAGAGAAATGCAACAAATCAGGGTTTTATACAGTATTTATACTTGGAAAAAAAACTTGTACGATATAGCAGCATCGTTCACAAATAATTGTTAAAAACTATTTACTTACAGCATATCAAACCCTGTGTTGTGCCTATTAGTGGAAAGTGTCTTCTACGATCACTGAGGTTAAGGAGAAGTAAATTATGAAACATCCCACACTTCTCCAGCCATGAATGTCATCCTTTACTCTTCCTTGTGTCATTCCAGTCCTTTAGTGGAGCACAAAAGATGATGAACGTTGGGAATCAAACAGGTTCAGTTCCCATTGACTTACATTATATTTTTGTCTATTTATTGGAATTAAATGGGAACTGAAACGGTTTGGTTACCAACATTCATCTTCTTTCAACACTCTTCAAACATCATCTTTTGTGCTCCACTGAAGAAAGAAAACCATGCAGGTAACGACATGTGGCAGAGTAAATGATGACGATGTTCATTTCGAGCTGCGTTAAGTGAGTCGAAGAACAGATGGATAATGGCTCGTCATCAAGCGCAGGGGAGGTGTGATGTGTGCCATAAATAATACAACACTGAGACACAAATGTAGACATGTAGATTATACACTCTATTATGGTTAACCCAGTGGAATGATGTATTGGTTATAGTGAAATCAGGTTTTTTTTAGTTCACTGCTATTGCGATGTATTAATGCTTCCCAATAACAAATCACACATCGATGTAACACACACCCTCTCTGATAAAAGAAACACCTCTGTGGGAAGACACACACCCTTTACAGTTTTTCGGCCAGGCATCAGGATTAATATCCAGTCAGTGTGTTTTATAGGTGAAGGGTAAAAGACCCTCCTGAACGTGGATCTTTACCTTGGACCACCCTGAGCAATCTGTGCTATAATCAGTACGAGATGAGATTTATTGTGCACTTTTGTAAGTTGATGTTTATTACACTGTGTTTAGAGTTTAGCTGTGTTCCAGACATTAGTGATTGGTGTGTTTAGGCAACATCTTCAACACAACAGCTGTTCGAAACTGCAGGCTCGGCAGCATTACATATATCCTTCCCAGATAAGCCAATCCCAGAATGCACTGCAACAAGCTCAGTGACTAAAATTAATTCCAAATGGTAGACACTGACAATTCAAATTGATTTATTATAAATAGATTTCATTCAGTACAGAAAACGATCAACAGAGAATAGTCTCACATAACAAAGTTTTACCCAGTGTGCATTTTTGTGCTGGAAAAGCAACGTGAGGAAATCAGCTGATGAGTGCGGTTTGTGTGCTTTACGGCAAGACACCACGACAAAACATCTGCGGTTTCGCCACACCTCCCCAACATGCGTCCACAACACGCAAAGTTGTTTATCTTCAGATTTCTGTCTTAGAAATGTATGCAAATTTAATTTAATAATGTTAATTTTGCATATATATATAACAACATACAATTTTATAAAGTTCAAAATTCTTGTTTCATTTTGTTAACATGTTAAAGTCAAAGGTTTTTACAGAGGGGATTTTGGGTCTCTTTTTGTCATAAATTGAAAAATACTCACCAAAATTTTCACCAGGTTTTTAGGAATACAGTGTTTAATGTTTACAATCAGGCAAATTATACATGAACAAACCCTTTCAGAACACACACAAATAACTTATAAGCAATAAAACTGTGAAGTTTGGTGTTTGCAAGAGCTGCTGAAGTTGGTATTTCAGACTTTCTCCAAATGCCTTCTAAGATATGTATTGTAATGGAAATCTACAGACGCAGTAGAAGAAGTGTAATAAAATTTACTCTTAAATGTGTATTTGGGATATTCTCTACCCACTAGTCTGAAAGAAGACTTGTTATGGAAGCAAAATAGCTCAATATCTCAAAATTGGCCAGTGCATGAAAAAACAGTGGTCTTTCCTTAAAGGAGTAGTTCACTTCAGAATTAAAGGGGGGGTTGACTGCTTTTTTTCTTTGCATGATTGTGTTTATGGGGTGCAATATAACATGTATTCGTGGTTTTTCTTTTTTAAAAAGTCTTATTTTTTATAAACTTCACCTTTATTGTCAGCCGCGCTCTCCTCTGTCCTCGAACGAGTGGTCGACTTCCTGATTCTATGAAAACACTCCCTCAGAAACACGTAGTGGGCTCAGATTGGTTCGTTTGGGCCGGTGTGTTGTGATTGGCCAAACTGACGCTCACGTTGTCCAGAAGGTTAACGCCCATTACCTTTACGGGCGAAACGGGCATGCCAAAGCTGGATACCATATACGGTGGATACACGTAAATAATGATGTCGAGACTGCAGTATCAGTGAGGCAGAATCAGACCGAGAAAGCCGCGATGAATCGAGTCAAGCAGAACCTCACCACACACTCGTACTTAACGTTTCTGAATGATAATTTGCTACATTTTTTTAACCATATACACGTTTGTTTTACACAATAGCATCTGACTGGCAACAATAGCAACTGACTGGCTACTAATGTTAAACACAAACAGCGTTGGCAAGTTTACGTTCTTGATCATATCGAAAATAACGTCATAAAGCATATATACATGAAAAATACATTTACAACATTAGTACTTATACAAAATTCAGGTCCATAATGTTTGTACGCGTTTGTCGTAGACACAAAATACTAGCATAACTAGTAGCCTAGTGGCTATAAAGCCAGCGCTGGCATTTGAAAAAAATAAAAAATAAAACGCAAGGCTACGTCTGGAATTATACATGCAAATACATTTAAAATGATGAAGTCTTAGCCTACTTACAGGTTGTGACCCAACAACTGCTGCCTCTTTTTTTAAAGTTGGAACTGCTTCATGTTTTAGTAACAGTTTCTTGTTGAATCCGGCATTGAATTCGTGGAGATTCTGGAAGCTGTCTTCCGTAAAATGCGCAGCACAGAGAGCTAACTTACGATCGTCATTTTCAGGAACATAATCAAACATAAATTGTATCCATTTTCCGGAGGGAGGGGTTGATGCAAATGTGCGGGTTAGTGACGTACCATAACCCAGCTGTAGTCCCAATCGAGTCGTTTTTGTAGGCAATATACTTCCTGATTTTTAAAAGACGATGTCTCTGCTTACACTGAACTTTCAGCGCTGCAACTTTGCAGATACTGTTCATGCACCAACAGCAAAATTACACACTATTTAAAATGAAAAAAGTGAAATCGCAGTTGACCCCCCCCCCCCCCACACTTTAAAATTTCCTGAAACTCCTCCCCCATGTCATCATCAAGATATTCATATCATATCTTCAGTGGAAAAGAAATGAAGGTTTTTGAGGAAAACACTCCATATGGTGACTTCAATGGAGTCCAAATACAAAGTGAATGTGTAAAGACTAAGTTAAACGCCATTTATAACTTAAAAAGAAAAGGTAAAACAACGATGTTGGAGGTGAAAATGAGATTACGTTTTTTGGCCACTCTACATTTCTGAACCGGAGCACGCGTGACCTTTCAACGTGATGTGTGGACTGGAGCATCACAGCTGGCGCAAGACCAGCATTTGTGGTTACAAAGTATATAATGGTTTATTTTTGTTATAAAATGGCCGCTGGTTTGTCTAGATCAGACTCTTATTCCTCGGCTGGGATCGTGTCGAGACTTTGAAGCTGCACTGAAACCGTTGGACCCCATTGAAGTCACTATATGGAGAAAAATCCTGGAATGTTTTCCTAAAAAACCTTTATTTCTTTTCGACTGAAGAAAGAAAGACATGAATATCTTGGATGACGTGGGGGAGAGTAAATTATCAGGAAATTTGAATTCTGAAGTGAACTACTGCTTTAAACGAGTGACTCGTGAGGTATTTCTCCAAAGGTTCAGAGCTGAGCTGTGGTTGCAGCTCTTGTGTCATTGGGCTGATGACATGATAATGGAGTCTAATGGGTTTTCTGAATCCCTTCCGTAGGAGAACCGTTACGAGATGTACGTGAAGCTCCTGAAGGAGGGTGTGAAGGAGGTCCTGACGGCCCGGGACGGGGACCCAGCACTGAAGAAGTCTCAGTCCAGCCCTTCTCTCAACCAGGAGTCCCAGCCGGCCAGCGCCAAGGTCAAGCGCAACACGTCCGAGCGCAAGGACTACCGACCCGAGACGCCCAAGCTCACATAGGCGGCATTCTGCTTCCTCACGGAGAGCCGCTGTATATCACGCGTGACTGTATTTTGATGTAATTTATTTACCTGCCGACAGTTGTATCAGGTAACATTTGTGTAAAATGTAAATTGATCAATTGATTGGAAGTTGTAAATCTCCAGGTCTCCCTTGACCAGCTGGTGCTTGTGGAGCAAAATAGTGTGCTTTTCTTTTAATTTGTAAGCGTGTAAAGATTTCATGGTTGCATTTTATTTTACAGTACGAGTGCGAACTAGTATTAGGTAACTACATGGGTTAAGGATAGTTTCAGGGTTAGCATCTAGTTATTACCCAGTTACTATAGTAAGTGCATGCAGAACGGGACTGTAAAGTAAAGTGCTACCGGTGTCGTTCAGAGAACGCGACTCTCTTGATTGTGCTGTCCTCTAATTTGCTTTTCTTTCAAGAGAAGTATTTTCTTCAAGTTAAGCGTCCACACACATACATATGTTAGGCAGTAAATATAGTCTCGCTCGGAGCGTTAGCTGTTATTTTAATAAACAAACAAGTGGCGGCCGGATGTAAAGCGAGAAGAGTTTCAGGATTTGGGCGCATGGTTACGAAACAGAAGCCTCCCGCTGTCGTCGCTGATGTAGTCCGCTACCGATGTACTAACCACCTACTAACCAGCCACCGAACTCTCAATGTAATATCTGCTCACACTTATCGTTAATGGATTGTACCAGCATGTCGCAGCAATGGACCGAAACTCTACATAGATTATTTTCTAAGGATGATTTGGAGGTACTTGCTGAGTTGCGGAGTCTCAGACTGCGAGATGTCGTCAGTGGTGACGTCATCAACTGTGCAGTTTGTGCCATTTATTTTTTTATCTGTTTGTTGAAGTAAAGAGTATACTTCTGCTTTTTCAGTAGTGTAAATGCCAATGCTCCTTTTGTGTATTTTATAATCTTATATATTTGAATTTTTAATTCTCAGTTGAGAGCATTATTGTTGTAAAGATGACAGTAGTATTTATAGTGCACTTTATTAGTTCTTTCGACTCTTTTAGAGAGCTTTATAAAGGGTAGTGATATGTTACTTCATTATATCGCAGGTTTTTCAAGCATAACCAAATCGCTGGTTGATTTTATTGAAGGTACACAGCCGAAGGTACATTTTTCACTCGTGTAAAGTTGTGTGAGTGTTTGTGTGTGCTTGTGTGTTTTGGCTGTCATGTTTAGGTTGTTCAAAGACAGAAGAATTTAGGTTGGAAACTGTTGCTTTCCGTGATGCTGACCTTGAATTTACGATGTCATTTTCATTACAGACAGAACTGACGTGAACACTATATGAACGCGTTTATTACACACCAACAACGATCGTCAATGCCGGATCTATTTACTTATTTGAACTTTTAAGGGTTTGAAAGGAATCTACATGAAAAGCTATTCACATTACAGATATTAGTCCCTGCCGTCTATAATGTTTACTTGAAATATTTTTAAGGACACTTTATTTTTTTGTTAGAATTTTGACAAATTGAAAGGATTCGTTCATACCTGCTTTGTGTTTTTGTCATTACTAGCTCTTTCAACAGACTTTATATTGTTGCGCGCAGAGAGGCACTTAGACAATGTTTGTTTTTATTTATTTGTTGCTGTTTAGAACAAAAAAAAATGCAATTACTTTTGAGCAGTATATATACACTTAGTAATGAATACTACAGAGCTGTCATCAGTATGAATGGTGATTATATATGAAGAGATGGACTCTTCCTTTCATGTGTTGCTCTGTGTTATGTTGGTTGGTGTTCACCGCTTCTCCAGACCAAACAGTTTTCTGTGAGCTGTAACTCTGGCACTAACCCTTTACCAGTGCACGTCGTTCACAGATTTAGTCCTTTTAAATAGTTTGTTAAAATTTTACATAGGATGAGGAGAACAATAAAAGAAAAAGTGTTACATAAAGATGGTGGCATGCAAGCGCACTGAACAATAACAACGCAAATGAAAAACCTTTCTTTTTTATGACAATATTTTGACTGGAATACTCCTTGGGTGCAAATGCTCATGTTTACCATGATGTTTATTTTTCCAGGGATGTCATCTTTGTCCGTTTAATCTCTATCAAACCCTGTAATGTAAGATCTCCTCTCAAAATGCAATTGTGTGAGTATTGAAGGAGAGCTGCTGGTTTTTAATGCGCCTTAAACATCAGTTGGGCCGATTGGTGTCCAAACTCAGATCGAGTGAATACCTTTTTTAGCTGTGATCCTGTACCACTCCTTTCATTCTGTAAATGTTGTTAAATATGCCTGTTGCCCTGTGTTCAGAAGACTGGATGTGTTGGTTGTGGTCTCGGCATGCGTGTCTTACGCCTGCCCACTAAGATCAGGGACACAATGTTGGCTTCAGTGAATAAAATACCGTATTTAATCGTTCATTGCATCCGCGCTCATTTGTCATATAGTGTATGTGTGACAAACTCAACAGCTTATTATAAACCAATTTCCTCAAATAAACGTTAGCCTGCTTATTGTAAGTCAACATGTGTTGAATTAGCAGGTGTATAAAACAAGTGGCTGTACACTTGAGGCCGCAAGATCAGGTGAAAACCTTGACCAGCAACTATACATTACTTAAAGCTATTCTATTTATCAGGATATTTATATTTTTCCTATCATCACTGTAAAGATGCTTTGAAACAATCTGTATTGTTAAAAGCGCTATATAAATGATGGTGACTTGACTATAGCAACTGTTGTTGTGCTCATATTTTCTTCTCTATTGTGACGAAGACTTCTGGAGCAAGAACAAATGTAGGGCGGGGCTTGAGTTTGTCTGTGGTTTGCTATTGGTGGATCTGATGTGCCCCTCCCTCGTCATCAGTGAAAAGAAGAGTTGAGCTGCAAGAGGGAGGGGACGTTATTCTTGTTCAAGATTACCAGGAACATGAATTAAAAAAAAGTGTTACAAATCATTTATAATAAACACTGCAATATTCCATCAAAAAATAAGAATGGTCAAGTTTTGTTGAATGTAACTGTCATTCATAATGTCTTCTAAGTGGACATTTCTCTGACACAGAAAACATGCAAGGTCTTAGGTGAAATTAATAGGGTTTTTTGTTCTTCAAAATAATGAATTATTTTTAAAGTAACATTAACATGACAGTAATATGATAGATAAATGTGTTCTATTTAGTTTATTTGAATAAAGTTTGTGAGGAGCATGTTTAGATAATCCAGCCAATCAGCTCAAGGGGAAGCCTTTATATCGCCGTCTCTCACCTCTGTTCCTCGACAGTTTTCCGCTCAGCATGTCCCAGATTGAGATCATCATGTCCGATGAAGAATCTTTGGTCTCTGAGGAGTCTCCGCTGCAATCCACGGGCTTAAAGGAGAACTCCGGCGAACAATCAACCTTTGGTCTAATAAAACATCGGTACATAGTCAACCGTCTGAGATTTGTTGTTTTTATGATAATCGAATGTAAAGAGTTTTATCTCTAAAAACTGTTTAGCGTATAATGCTAGTACTGGGGGTATTTACTAAGTAAAAAGAAATCGCTAGTTTATACCACTAACAAGGCTCAAAATGGCCCCACACTAACGCAATAACATAATGAGGGTCCGTACATGCAAAACGAAGCATTGAGAACTTTGTAAGTGTACAGACCGTTTAATAAGAAGATACTTTATGAAGACAGTTCACTTCGTGTATACAGACAGGAGCCATCTTAAAAATAGTCTCGATAAGTCGAACCACGAACGTCGTGCTGAGTGATCTGAACTGTATGAAGTTCAACGAACTTCTGACGACATTCGGGGATCGACTTATCAAGACTATTTTTTAAGATGGCTCCTGTCTGTATACGCGAAGTGAACTGTCTTCATAAAGCATCTTCTTATTAAACGGTCTGTACACTTACAAAGTTCTCAATGCTTCGTTTTGCATGTACGGACCCTCATTATGTTATTGCGTTAGTGTGGGGCTATTTTGAGCCTTGTTAGTGGTATAAACTAGCGATTTCTTTTTACTTAGTCAATGCCCCCATTACTAGCATTATACGCTAAACAGTTTTTAGAGATAAAACTCTTTACATTCGATTATCATGAAAACAAATCTCAGAGAACGATTGACTATGTACCGATGTTTTATTAGACCAAAGGTTCATTGTTTGCCGGAGTTCTCCTTTAAAGAGCGAGTCTTCTCTGCCTAACACCCTAATGCTGCCGTCGAGCCCGTATCGTCATCACGAGGGCACCAGCCTACCCCAACGACAAGACCCCTGCCGGAGAGACATTCGCCATCTTCCTCCATGTCTTCTACTACTCTGGCACATCCAGCCATCCCTGCCATTGAGAAATGGACATTTAAAGCACTTAGACAAGCTCTGATCAATCCAGACATCCAATTCTCTTGCAATATACAGTAGTGCTTATCTGTGGTGCGTTAACCCTTCTCCAGAAGCCATCCAAACTGCCAGGGGAGTGAGTCTGGCTCATCGGGCCCTGAGCTCGTGTTCTGGAGCAACGGAAAAAACTTCCTCCAGGGGTGAATTCATCCCAACCCTGGTACCTCCTTATCCAGAGCTCATCTTTCAGTAAATCACCCGCTAAAACCACTTCTTGACGTCTCCCTCAACTTCATCCTTCAAGCCATCTCTCCAAGAACCCTCCAAATCTTCTGGACAGCGTGGAAGAGTCTATATATTTACCTCATATACTGTACAACATGTAGTTTGCAGATTTTTCCCTTGTATTAGTTCTTTTTTTTATCTGAACAAGCCTTAGCTTGCATGGATCCATCAGAGGTTATCTGAGCAAAATCCCATTTTTTCATTAATTAATTTACAGTGAACCCTCTTCCACAATAAGCTTTAAAAAGTCATCCAGATAACCCAACCTGCCTGTCCAGACACCAGACAACCCTTAACCATAGACTTGGAACCACATGTCTCCACTCCAGCCTAGGCAACTACTCTCAATACTGCCCGAACTGAACGCAATGTTCATTTTAGCTTTCACCTTCAAAATTTTCCATCACCTCCAGTTTCAACCCAAAGGTTAATCATGCAATTTCAGATCTGCTGGTATTATACAATGAAACCATTTTCTTTTTTCATTAAACAAAGGCCAAGCCAAAAAGGTAATTTTGTTTACATCGAACCAGATTGAACCATAACATTCACTCTCATCAAGTTAAATCTCCATTCAAGCAACTTTTTCATCCCTTACCAGCCCTGCGTGGCTAATGGTTCCTGTCCCAGCCAGAAGTCCAGGCCAAACTCAAGCCCTCCCCGAGGACAGTAAGCCTGAACTCCTGAAAAATATTTTTCAATGTTAATATGCGTACATAAGCCATGTTTTTTGTCAACAACATGCTGTTTGCCGTCAGATAAGACGCCAGCTTTTGGAGTGAGCCGCGGGTTACACCACATCAATAGCTGTGATTAGGAAACACTCCTTCACATCCACTGGAAATGAATGTAGTGGAGCCTGATTGCTTCTAATGAAGGAGGTGAGGCTGATTACACAACACAGGTTGGACACTCAAAAGGAAAAGGAAAAGATTTCCAGGTAAAACAGGAAATTAACTTGCCTGACCATGTGATAAATGGCCAGGCCATTCTGGGGAAACAAGCGCAGATCAAACTGCAGCACATCCTCTACATATAATTCTTTACATTTTCGAGTTTTCTAGAAAAGAAGTTTGTTGAGCCAAACTTTAAGTTGCAATGAGAAATTTGAACCAGAAAGTTTGAGGTAGACTAAATAGCTTTAACTCAGGTGTTTTTAAGTTTGAAGTAGTTATGTAATTAAGGAAATGGAAAGAAATGTCTGGATGTGCCGATGTAGTGACAAATTGGGTCCCCCTGGAAATCAGGTCTCCTTCAGAACCGCAAGCGATCCCATTAGTCCAAATTGCTTTTAATAGTTACTCTCTTTAGCGCCTGATTACAAGTCCTCTCTTCTATTCCTCACATCTCCACTCTTATTCATCCCAAAGGTGTTCTGTCGGGTGGAGATCAGCTCAGTCAAGTTCCTCCACAACAAACTCCTCATCCATGTCTTTATGGACTTTGCCTTGTGCACTGGTGCGCAAACCCCGAAACTCTCCCCACAAAGTTGGGAGCATTAAATTGTCCAAAAAGTTTTGCTGTGCTAAAGCATTGAGTTTCTTTCACTGAAAGGCTCAACCCTGAAAAACAACCCCACACCATAATCCCCCCTCCACCAACCTTTACACTTGGCACAATACAGTCAGGTAAGTACTGTTCTCCTGGCAAACGCCAAACCCAGACTCGTCTATCGGATTGCCAGACAGAGAAGCGTGATTCTACATCCTCTACATATCATCAAGAGGATGATGTGTGCAAACTCATCTGAACGCATGGCTTCTATTTCAACCCTTCACCATAACGTTTGGAGCAATGTCTGGAGTAATGAGGAAGTGTTTTGTGATGTGGAAAAGGTTCGTTAATAGTAAACTTTAGATTATTCGGGTGGTCTAACACTGCGTGGACCATGAAAACGCCAGATCCCACTCTCCATTGCACACCAAAACCAAAGGACAGCAATAGACGGGTTTCTTGTATACAAACAATACTGGATGCGCGCGCATTCAGGGGGCAAAAACGCTAACAGGTGTTCTGCCCAATTATTTATCACCATCAATGAACCCCACAAAGAATATTATGTCGTTTTTAAACAGTAAAATAAAAAATTTTTTACGCGGTGCGTGCAATTCTTGGCTTGTAACGTTATGCAGAACTCGGCATTACACCTGCAAAAGATTCTAACGTTAATCAACCGTTGAAAGCTAATTGACATATAGATTTCACATTGTTTGTAAATTCTTGTTTACTCAATAAGAAACTGCCATTTCAGAGTTGGATCTGTTTGTTTGTGTTTCATTTGCATATTAATATAACATTATGTAAACGTTAGCTAACAACAGATGACTAGGCTAAGTTATAACGTTAGTCATTGGGTATCTGAATGAAATTGTCCAACTAAGTTTACTTATCATAAAAACATGACATACCCTATGAATTTATGAACTTACCTGGTTTTGTTGGTTGTTGAGGCTTTCAATCCTAAATGTTGACGACAAGGCTACATCACGACCCGCCGTTTGAAAGAAAGTTGATACTGTAAACCTACTTTACAAGACATGAGACAGCTAGCTAGGTGTGTGACAGTGAGGAAATCAATGGCTAGCAGCAATTACTTTGGAAGCCTATAGCACCGATAACTCCACCGATTATAATAAGAAATTAATTCTCAGTAACCTGATCCCTATATTTCAGACCACGAATGGATCATAGATATGCCCAAGTTGCCAGCAATCATATGGCCCGATATATATACACTTATTTAAATTGGACTGTTTTCTATTTTCATATATAGTAAAGTATTCCTGTGATCAAAGCTGAA